ATTAAACAAGTTAAACATGGGAGCTATGTCAACGGTTTACATTTTCCATCATGGGAGAAAGGCTGAACGGCGTATGTCTTTGTGCTCTCTGGCTTTAAAGAGACAATGAAGCCACAGGAGTTTTTCCAAGCTGTTCTAACACTGTCCACTTGCCATCCTCCCTGCTCCTTTGCTTTTCATATAACTCCCTCCCCAACTCTTTTCCTTCCCTCTCTTCCCCCACCCCCCCAAAAAATCACTCAGGAGAACCGTGCTCTGGTTGAAAGTTTGCACTTCTATGGCACTACATATTTTAATCAAAATACTTTGAGCAGTTTAACATTCCTGTTTAAGTTTCCACAAGGCCTCACAAAGAGTGAGCTCATAAGCAAATCTATGTAGATGTATGATAAATGACCTGAAAAACAGGTTTCTTTATGTCAGCAGTCAAGGAAGGCAGACATTAGGCACACATGAACAACATTTTAGTCACTATTTTTTTCCCCTCAGAAGAACGCTTTCTTCTCATTTGCAATAAGCGATTTCAAGTATTGCAGGCTGTATGATACATTAAGACCAGATCCTTAAAAAAAATCTGGTTATGGCTGCTGAGCAGGTCTGAAAGGCCTCATCTTTGCCAGCACGCCACTGCAGTCCCCTCAGGTTCTCCGCTGATTTCCCACTATAGAATCGTTCACCAAATGAGACGATCCTAAGTATCACATCTAAAGCAAGGTGATCTTCTCGCAGTGAAACAGGGAAAAAAAAAGGGGGGGGGGGGGAAGAGGGAGAGGACATTCTTGTATGCATGTGCGCAGAGGGAGAACTTAGTGATTTTAGCTCGACTTTTAGTCGCTGCCTTTCTAAAGGCAATTACTTCATTAAACAAAGTGAAATAACTTAGCACAGCTTATAGACAACAGGCTTTAAGATAATTACTACAAATAATACAGCAATTATACTCGTGGTATAGAAGACCGGAAAAAAATAGCCAAGTCAAAAATCGAGCCTTCAGTCTGTTCAGAATTCATTCTGCTCATTCACTTGTGTGAAGACCTGGCTACAAATACCAGAGGAATCAAATGGACTGGAAGCTACCACTCACTTCTTGTATTAGCCTGCCAAGTGTCAACAGCTATGTTTTGGGTACAATTCAGAAGTGTGTGTTTAAATCATTTTAACCTTCCACTCCTGTTTCTTCAGCTTGAAGCTGTAATTGTTGAGGTTAAGAAGTGCAGTCCCATGACACAGGCCTCCCAAATAAATTCTTGTCTAGAAAGAAGCTACCAAACATGTTGTGAGATATCGTTTTAGCAAGCTCTTTGTGCTTCAGTTGGCTCGGTTGTCCTGTGAAACAAGGACTGTCCATTACCTACAGTTTATCATCCTGACAAAATGTGAGGAATGTGGATGTGAAAGCACTAACAATTCCACCCCTGGTGCTTCCTCCTTTTTTCCCCTCTCTGTATTAAAACAGACAAGATTAACCCAAATGCAAACTGCAGAGCATAGTTCAAGGGGCTATTCAATTGATAGTGAATGTGCATTTGTTTACCTTCAAAAATAAGAATTTCAGATACAATGAGAAGCAGGCTAGTCTATATGCTACCAAACAGATCATTTAACAGGGTCATCAATCATAGTTTATTTTATCAGTCTCTGACATCTTAGCATTTATTCAGAGATTGACTGTGAAATATCTCATATATAATTGGTTATTATAGATGGAAGAAAAAATAGCTAAGTCAGAGTCAAATGCACCACTTGCAAGGATAAGCTTCTGTGTGTTACTAAGGAGAACTGCTTTGCTGACCAGCCTATAGCATGCAGTGAATAGCATCACTTAGACATGTTTTTGTATGACATTTCTCTAATATTTGACTAAAATGCATTCCATAACACTACATTTTACCATGTAGTTCAAAGGCAGCGTTGAGCACTTGAGAGGTGAAACTGAGGTAATCCATACTATCTATATAAATTTATCTTGGCAGAAACAACACATGTAGAAAGTTCCTTGATTAAGAAGTGTCAGCTGTAGTTAAGTCTACAGAATAATTTTTCACTGTATTTTCAAGATCTAAGATCGAAAGTCCTTCAAATGAGAAGCCTATAAAGCTTATCAAAATCATTTGCAACATTTAACCTCCCAAACTATTAATTCATAGGTATAATTATTTTATGCATGCCACTTACAAACACACATCTTCAGATTTGGTTGAGGCAATGAAAGCAGATCTCAAAAAAAGAGGGGGGGGAGGAGGGAGCTGAACAGGGGAGGGAACTCAGTTTGTGTTCAAATAGCTACCGCATGCCCTCAATCCCAGCCACCTGCTAAAAATTACAACCTCTAAACTTCAGTACAAAACCAATTCAGTTTATATGTTCACCTCAACCTAAAATTTATTATTTCATACTTTATATTAACCTGACTAATAACTTCTCACAGCATTTAATTGCCTACCTGTTCAGCAGATTTATGTGTTGAGATTTTCAATAGTTAAACACACAGCTTCCATGAATAAATTAATCAAAGATAGTTATTACTACAAACCTAGAAAGAAGCTTTATTACTACACTATACTGAGATCCATTCAGCAGCATATTTCTCAGGCTAACATTCAGCTTGAATCCTGAGTGAGGACAATCTCATCTAAGGAGAAATTATTCAGTATCCTTCAGGCAAACAATTGTGACAAGAATTAGTAAGAAATCCTGCTCTTAGAAGTGGAGCTGTCTTAACAGCAGCAATATTGGTAATGCATTTGTAAGCGGCCTCAAACTACAGGCCTCCAAGTGGCCTATAAATCACTAGCCCCAGCAATTGAAAAGACTAATTTTAATAGTGTACTTCTTCACTGTGGTGATTAAGCCTCAATGAATCACTCAAGAAAACTCAATTACATCAACAGTACAATCTATTTTTTAAGCATGCATTTAAGTTGAAAAAACTAATTAGATATTATCATTAGATCTACCATTAACAACATTCAAACCTTTTTTTTTGTAATCAAGTAGTTTAGAATTAGCCAAATGGAAGCACAACTTACATTTGATAAAGGAAGTGTATCCCCAGGCATTGTGAGAGGGATTGAATTTAGCTACTTGGATACTTTCATTGCACTGGTGGCTAATAAAAGCTATCAAGGTAAGTTAAGAAAGCGAAGCAGGTTAGGACTGGAAGAATGGCAGAGGAAAGGCCAGTGCACCAAGGCTGTTCTGCATTGGAAGAGTGACCTCTGTAGGAATAAACTGCTCACAGGGCTGTGGATGCAATTGTTCCTCCTCCTCTAAGGCTGAGCGGGGCGCGTTTTGCACAATCACAGCAGGCCCACTAACGCAATGCAACCCAGGCTCGCAGCCTTTGACTTCTGAGAATTCAAACAGCATTATAAAGCCAGCTTTAAAATTGTCTCGTTCGCTTTGCTCTCAGCTATCACGTCATTTCTTTCTTAGGCCAAAGAAAGGCTTTAACTACATAGCATCACAGAAGTGCAGAGCCATAGACTGAGCTGGACTTTGTTGTTTTAACTGGCTTCCCACCTGGTGTATACATATAAAATGATCATTTGTCATGTAACAGTAGAAATAAAACAACATTGTGAAATGAGTAGTCCGCAGTATTCCTGTCAACCAGTTTCCCCATTTTTATGATAAGGAGTTTTACAACTTATCTTAAAGATTTTACAGAAAGGCTAAGCCAGACAAATACTTTTATTATTGAAAAAAACTGGCAGAAATCCGCAATGAGGTTTTCTTCAGTGGAAGCAATGGTAGGTAATGATGAAAGTGAAGCAAGACTGACTACTCAAACTTCTTCAGCTGCTACTCCTAATTCAAACTTTTGAAAGCCTCACTAAATTCTCGTAGGTCCTGCCACCAACACAGAATTAGTCCCTGATCCAGGAAATACTCCATTCTTGTCTCATCACCACCTAATGTTTCTTCTAAAAAGTCCCTAGGGAGAACAAGACATGTACTTACTGGATTTAATGGGAAATTCTGAATTCAATTAATATACAATGCATATGCTGAAATTTATGTCTGTGATCCTTTAAGTGTGTGGTTTGCTTCTAAGTATTTAATTTAAAAAAAAGTAACCTGAAAAACAAAAAGATAATTTTATTACCCATTTCTAGTGCTAGACTTCTTAAACTAATTACAAACTATTTTTCCTATGGTGGAAAAAAATAGATTTTTGCTAAAGTAAAATATTTTAACTATCGCAGTTTTAATGCATTGCACAATTGAACAAAGCCAACTTTTGTTTCGCATGTCAAAAATAAAAGCGACAAAAAGAACAAGAAAAGCAGAATTAGTTTTGCCATCACTGACTTAGGCGATCTTTCAAAAGAAAAAGCTACTTTCTTCAAAGTCCCTTCTCCCAAAAGGGTATGTTTTTGTATGTTTAATTAAAGATTTTTTTTTTAAAGGATATGCTTCTATTTTAAGGGCATGCTTTGAGAGTAAAGTCTTGGGAAGGCATGTACTTTTTTGCCTGAATTTGTTAATGAAGAATGACACTAAATGGTTCTGTGATGGGTAATGCTTAGTTCATTACTCACTGACATGTGCCTCGATACCATCAACTCCACAACCAAATTTAGCCCTGCTATAAGCAGCTGTAACTTCGCTGAAGTCAAGGGGATGAATTTGCATCTGCAGACGGAGAAGTTGAAGAGTATCACCCCTTCCTGGCAACGCTGCCCTGCGGCCTCCGGCCCTGCGGCCTCGGGCGCTGCCCAGAGCCCGGCGACCGGGCGGCTGCGCGGGGAGCGGA